CTGCATCCGCTCACATTGGGGAACTTTGAATTGGGATAGTTTGGTTCACCATGAACATAAAATAACGAAAATATAGCGTCCGTATCCACAACAAATTCTCTCCAAGTGATCTGAGTTACATTGACCTAGTGTTACGCATAGCGGAGTTATGCCCCTTATCATTATATGTGTATGACCTCTCTGTCGTCGTTTGGCGTCATAGAAGAAAATCCATTTTGACATTTATTGTGCGAGTCATTTTTAATGTTGGCGTATAACGTTATGCACAAGCACATAAACCCAATTCATATACACTTATGTCGTTCAGATATCAAGCTGTATTTTCTTCGTTAACACTTTCCGTAAAGATGCCACATTAAAAATTAAGTAGCACAGTGCTTTTATCGGTCTTGGCGATAAAAAGCGGATAAAATTACTGTTTTAACGCATAAAAAATTGGACAACATTTAGCAGTGTCTATTTCTCAAACCGCCGAGGTAGTTGCACTTATATTTATACCAACGGATAGGAAATATAATATTCTACATTTCTGTGTAATTTTATAGCCGTACGTAGATCCAGGACCACGCGAGCGCAATTCTCGCACAACGATCACTTTTCAAACCGTATGGAAATGTGCGCCTGAAAAAAAACTCGGCAGCCAGGGGGTTAAGGAAGGATACTTTCAGTTAATACATAAGAAGTTCTAGTGACATGGCTGATTTTATCATGCTTTTGGATATAATCCATCCATATTGTGGTGGACAGGAACCTAACACTGGCCCAGCCCATTACAAGACAGAGCAATAACCACTAGAGAAGGTCACTGCTAAGTTTAGAAGTACATGGAATATAAGACTAAAACATTCTTAATAAGTCTATACCCAAGACATAACTAAATGAATTGTTCATAACCGACAAGCTGATTCGATCATGTCCATTAATTAGTGTAGTTGATTACAGATAGAAGGTCATGTACAAGATAGTGTTCCTCCATCATCATTACCTACTTCCCCTCACAGATGACATGACATCATAACTCTACAATCATGGATTTAACTTGGATTCTGAACTAACTTATACACCCTTGGCAGGCAAAAAGGATAAACATATTTTTTCTTGTATTTGAATAAATATTTTCTAATTTCAGAGTTATTTTAGCAATTGTTGCAATAATGCACAGTTAAGTATTGAAACCTGGCCCCCTTAACTCATCTCTTTGAGTTACTTATCGCCATAACATTAGTTTCATCGGTGATAATATGAATTGGGACATTTTATTTTCTACATGGGAATATTTGCTGACATTTGCTGCAGATTTGAGATAGAATATCGTCATGTAAACCTGTCCGTATGAATTTTTGATAAACTTTTTGCTGGTTAATAATAAATATGGATCATGTTTTAGTTATTTTGCTTTGTTGAACAATACCTATTAACAAAGTTGGTCAATGTGACCTGACTGTATATGCAAACTGTTGCAAGGTAGAGTGTATATATATTTACGAGATCCATGATTGATATGAGAGAGGTTTATGGACGTGGAAGCCGAGATAACATTGTCCACCATTGCTAGAAACTGGTAATAAAGTAGTAAGCACTCATTGCTATCTGTTCGATCTGTTGTGCATAAACTGTAGGTAAGCTGGGAGCTATGGACATTTCTACAGGCTACAGAATGTGCCAGGGATATAAATTACAATAGGTTTAGTTTCTGTTATGGGCTGAGGCTCCAAAAGTTTACATGTCCTAAAACAGACATAGGTTGATCTGTTTGTTTGTTTATTTGTTGTTTCATGCTGCCGTCAACACGGCATTCAGGTGGCTAACAGGCATCTCATAAATTATCTTGTTATACTAATAACAATAGTCATTCCCTGCAGTGGTATCAAAAGATTCATGCGGATATTGAAAAGCAAAGTTATTCCCCAAACAATTCAAGAGTTAGAGTGATTTTCCGCTACCTGTGTTGGGCATATGACCCATTTATATCGAGTGGTCGGTAGTGGTGGTCCGATTAATTGAAATAATCAAAGATTGGTCGCAGTGACTAAACGACCAAGCAATCGATAATGTTTTCTCATAATCGAACACAAACAATTCTGGAACACTTTTTGCATTAACAATATTTTTCACAAGGTTTTTTTTGTCAGTTACATTTCATAACCACTACAAGCTTGTTCCAAGTCATGATTGAATATATCTTAAAGACATCAGGAAATTTATGTTCCTAACATACTAGTCATCCTTTCAAGATGTGAAAATTGCCCCCCCAAAACCCAAAGAACTACATGTTTTTTCTGTAGGTTTTTGTGCATTAGCAAAAATAACCAGGAAAAAATTCATAAATGACGCTAACCAGTTATTTTCGATGATTGATCAGTTGTAATGAAGCAATCATCAATTATGAGATTTTAACCAATTCCCAGCACTAGTGGTCAGACTCACTGACTTGGATTGATCATGTCGATGTAAATACTGAAAGATTGGATCGTTGCTCATGACACTGATCACTGGATTATCTGTTCAAGATGCGATTACCCCATATTTGCTGGAATATAGCTGACACCAAACACACACACAAACTTCACTTACATGTTTCACGTACTTTTCACAAAGTCTGTGGTTTAGACAACCACTTGTCTCAACCCAAATAAACAGTACTAGAATCTGTACTATACTGAGAAAGTGTAAACCCAAATATAACGTGTTACTTTTCATCCAACTTTTTTTTGTCACAAACTACCTGACTTTTCCTGATTTCATGCAGTTTTGTTACTGTGCAAGTTATCTTGCTTACCAATATTTTGTGATCAACTTTACTGATGCAACACTTTTTATTCCAATACAGCATCTTTACAATCAAGTTGCTGAGGCTCTGCCACCATTATCCTGATCTTACTGATTTCTGTGTAGCTCTTTCATTCTGGTAGACCCACATGGGTACAATGTGTGAAGCCCATTTCTGGTGTCCCCTGCTGTGATATTGCTGGAATATGGCTAAAAGCACTCACTCACTCATTCTGGTACTCTTTTGGGGCTTTTGGGGCCATTTCTGGGGTAGCCTAGTGATATTGCTGGAATATTGCTAAAAGCACTCACTCACTCCACATATGTCGCCAAAGACCTGAGTGGGTTCGTCATGCCCCCGGGTTCGATTCCCCACGTGGGTACAATGTGTGATGCCCATTTCTGGTGTCTCCCGCTGTGATATTGCTGGATTATTGCTAAAAGCGGCACAAAACCATACTGACACTTATTCACCCCTTCAGTTTTGTTGTGTCATTTACCTTTAGTATTTGGAGACAGGCTTAAACATTATTGAATCTGGGCAAGACACACAAGTGGTTCAGTAGCTCACACAAAAGCCTCTTTACGGCCACTTCTCCCACCACTGTACTTCAAAATGTTTTGGTATTAATATTAGCATGTTTTGGTTCGCATATATTTACCAGCTTTTGTTTGTTTTGCAATATTTAAACCTTGACCTTAATATAACATATCCATTTTTACCATGCTCTTAAGTTCACTCATCTCCTAAAATAATCTGTAATAATGAAGGCACCCCACCAAGGATAGCATCCCAATGTAGGTAAGATATTCAAATCAGATTTTCAATATGGCCGCATCAACAGCCATACTGTGAAACTTATTTGTAGCCATTACATTTGTCATTTGTGTTCAGAGACATGCAGTCAACTAAGTTAGCCGTCCAAAAACACCTTTATGACAACACAAAGAACAAAAGAAATTTTACTTTGGCCCTACAAATAAGGAAAGAGAGATTGTTTGGTTGATACTGTCAGCCCTGCAGGTGTGACTGATTAGCGTGTCGAATTCAACTTTTTCATTCACATGTTTTGGGTACAATGTTCACAACAAATTGTAATTGTTGAACACACAAAGCTGTATTACTTGTCATGGATTCTTTCACGCAGATTACATCTAGTTACACCAGTAATGTAATAAGTTATGTGGAGTGGGTGTGTTAATGTGTGGACACACTTGTTCGTGGGAGATTTTAGCAATAGGTCTGTGATAGCAGTGTATGAAATAAGGCCCGACCGAGACGGTCTCGATTTCTGACGGATGGTCTAAATTTACAGCTAGCCAGCCCGATGGTCTGGTAAAAATTTTAGATGTTCCATACATCTGAGTAAATTGACCATATTTGGTCTGGTTAAATCCATTTTGGGCTGGTAACATTTTGAAGTTACCAGCCCTGATGTCTGGCTGGATTTTTGGCTTATTTCAAACACTGGTGATAGGTATGTGTTAAGTGCATGTGCACTTAGAACTAGAGATTGCCATAGCATGATTAATGTTGGGAATTTGTAATTAAACATGAAAAGTTACACATTTTCAATATATGACAAGGGAAGTAGTATTGGGCCAACTGACATTCTGCGAGAGTTTTATTTATATTCTTGAAACTTTACTTTGTTAGTCTGCTTGCTCAAATAGTACAATGTTTATCAATATACAGTTAAGGATTACTTTTAGGAATCTGTTTTGGAAGTCTTAGGCATAAAATGTCTGTTTCAAAATGTCACATTTCAATGTTCATTTTTTTCCAAGTAGAGGACTTTCTAACCCAAACCTTTTTATTATGATTTTCTATCTTACCTTTGGCTTACCTGGTTAAAACTGAAGTATGTAATGATGTTGCTTCTGTCATGGTTGTCCAGTGTTTCATCTGTTTTAAGATTTGTATGAATAAACCCATCTATTGTCACAAAAACACTGCTCACAGAACTCAGGTTTGACTTCAACATACATGTATATGCCATTATTTGTAAAATTAGTATAAGCTATAGAATCTTGTGGATTCTTTTTTATATCATTCACCCCAAATAACCAATCAATTCAGGACCACTTCAAGAAAAAATGTTTTTAAATTTGTAATTAATATCCTCTTAACCACCAACCATATATGTAGTTTTTAAAACAAAAATGAGTTTTCCTGCTGATGGAACAAGAGAGGCCCATTTATGTTTATACATCGTACACATTGCTTCCAGATCTGCATGCCACGGAGAAGATCTTCCACAAGATCATGAGCACAGGAAGAGAAACAGGCCGCTTCTCTGACAAGGCTGGCGGAGTTCTGTCCCCTTGCGTGGCAGCCCCAATCGCAAGTTTCAATCCCCTTCTCGGAAGTCGGAGGTCAGGGGCAAATCCACCCCTGGTGCCACCAAGCTGCAGGTAGGGATTATGGTAGATGATACCGGTTTTTACTTGTACATAATCATCTATCTCCGATATTACAAAGATAATATAAGATGTAGAAGATAACAAGTAATATGACTAGTATGCTTTTGACATTTTGGAAATTAGATGAAACAGGTCAACTTTAAGTGTCAACTGTATATATGTCTTTGGTATTTTATTAGTCAATTATTTTTATGAACAAAGTTTGGTTGATTTTCATTTTTGTAGAAATTGTATTCTATTTTACCATTTTACTATTTTAAGGTGGAACAATGGGCTTCTTACATTGTACCCATGTTGGGATTCAAACCTGAACCTTTCTGCATGACCACTTTGACCAATTCATTTCCCTTTCACCCCCATAACAATTTTATATGCATAACACATAAATTGGCCAATAAGCTAGAAGTAGAATTACATGTTCATAGGGACTCGAATTGTCCTAATTGTTCAAAAACATTATACCTAATGCTTCCTATTTCCTTGCCTCCATGTTATTGTCTATTTGATATTTCATTTGATTTTCAGATGAACCTGAATATAGCAGATCCCAATGAAGCAGTGTTGAAGAGGACCCATGATGGTGTCAACACGTACAGGTGAGTTGTGATGCCTACACACATAGTTTTGTACATCTGCTGTCTGTGGTTCATAAATTACACAATTACGTAAACCTAGTAATATTGTTCCAGGTGAAATCTGTCAGATTTACAAGTTAACTGATTAGTGCATCATTGGTATCTAGTGATAACTAGACTACATTTTAGAATTGTTCCGTAGTGGAAATAGTATCAATGAAGCAATGTTGTCTATGTGACGTAGGCCTGCCATGCCAAGGTCTCATTGCAGTGCGACTTGTTCCACAGTTGAGAAATGATAGTTTTTGATTTGCCAAACATTAGGGTAGGAATATTGATATGCCCCTCTTTATCATACTATTCATCATTTAGTATGTTCACTGAGATACTTTTTCCAGCATGTTTCAGTTTTTAAGCTAAGTTGCTTTAGGGATTGTCTATTCACCAATAGGTACACACACATGGGCTTCAATGTGCACATGTATCATGTGCTGTTCTTGCATAATGTGAACTTTCATTTGAATATACAGTCAAATCCCGATGAGTCGAATTGCTGGGGACCAAGTAATAAATTCGACTTATAGATGTATTCGAGACATAGGTATGTCTATGAGGGTAGAAAAAAAGATGATCCAGTCTTAATTCCTCCGTAAGCATTGTTTATCTAAAATCACTAATAGGGGCACCTTATCAGTTCCAGTCTGATTAGCACAGACAGTGATTTAAAATCACTAATCTGAACAACTCACCTGTCAATGGAGGAAAGGTTGAGCAGCTGGTTTGTTAATTGCATCAGTTTGCTACACCAATCAACTTCTCATTGACTGAGCTTATGTATACAAGATTGCTGTTGTTTGCATGGGAAATTTCCTTCTCGAGTCTGTGTATTTATCTGTAAGGTATTCTCAACTATAACAGGGAATGATAGGGACCCAGGTTTTCGAGTTATGCATAATGGTAGACAAATCGGGATTGACTGTATGTTTGTTTAAATCAGTACCATATTTCATCCCTAAATTCATAACAATTTTTTTTTTTTAATACAGAAATTCTGTGCCTGAGGCTCACACAGGAATGACCTGTTTTCTCTGAAATGGTAACAAACTTGGAAAATAAACAACCTAAAATACTTAATACAAAATAAAGGCTGTGACACTGAAAATAGAACAAATATAATCTTGAAATCATAGAACATTTAATCAATATTTGTCGGTATGGTATCTCAGGCACCATTAGAAACTGGCACTCTTCACAAGAGTTGAGTACTCACTCATAGAAGTCTTTTAGTTATTAAAGTTGTTTTCTGAAAAAAGAATTATTGTATTGTGCAAAAATCTAGTTGTTAGGTGAGAGAGAAAAAAAACAGAAAAAGAAAATACATTTCATATAATTGTTTTTGCTCTACGCTAAATATGTTCTTGTCTGAAGAGTTACATTTGTTCTGACTTGAAACTAAACCTATTGTCTTGTAGCTGAACCTATTGCCTTGTGGTTGAACCATTTGTCTTGTTGAAAGAAGAACGTATTTTATGCACAATTGTTTTGTGAGTTTGTATTCAGTGGACAAAATGAATATTTAGATGCTTTTCGAATGATTTTTGACTGTTCATTGTTCCAGTTTGGGCAGAATCAGTAAACTTCATAAAAACAGTCTTGCCAAAATAATTCTATTTGGGGATTAGGGACTGAAATAAGTCTTATGAAACAGCTGTGGTCGCTCAGATTTAGATGTAAGGATTATCATTTGTCATGCTTATCTGTACGGGCATATTCTGACTGGGGACATTTATCAGTACTTGGCAGAATTCTAATTTATCTTATGGCTTCTATTTATGACTTGGTCAAGATCAAGCCAAATATCTCCACAGTGAAATTGCATCACAATGCTTTGCAGGCCATTTTGATGTCACTAGTTACCATGACATCACAATCAAATGACATCACTCACCTTTCTGCAGCTGAGGCTGGTCAGCTGTACTCACTGACTGTTACTGTTTACATAATAAGAATGATTTTGGCTGATAAAGAGAATATAACCAAGCGTCTTTTGATATCAAATATGTCAATATTCACTGATAAAAGTTGATTACTTTGATTGTCTTAAGTTGATATTTTTTATATCAAAAGACGCAGTGAGATTCTCTATTTCGAGGTATATTCGAAAGGTGCTGGAAATGTGTGGCCATTGATTCAGCTTTGTAATACTGGATTTAGTTGATATACATTTTAACCTGAGCCTTATATGACATTGGTAGGCTTGACAGGTTAGACAGTCGTATTGGTTTATATGTGTTGATGTGTGCAGATCAGGTCGGGGTGGTTAATTCACTGGGTTGCTGTGTGGGTGACAGAATCGATACATTGTGATGAGAGTCGATCCTGGGGGACCGTGTGTTCTATGGCAGTTCTTTATCATGTTAATGTAAGCGTCCCCCACATTAGACCTGGCTCAATACAAGGGTCATCACAGCTATTGAGTTATCGTGTCGCCTGGATTGAACCGAACACTGGAGTGTTGTCATATACTTCATTATCTTATAGCATGGTTAAAATCTTTATGTGGTTATAATGTTTATGGTCAAGTAGTGAAGTGTTGTGGTTGGGGAACAACACTATGGGCTGGACACTGTTAGAACTTCCATGTGTGTTTTGTGGTGGCAACATGGTTGAAATCTTTCTGGGTGGTGGTTAAAATCTTATTGCATGGTTAAAATCTTTATGGCATGGTTCAAATCTTTTTTGTTATATTATGGTGTGGTGTGGTTCAAAATCTTTCTGGTGTGGTTTAAAATCTTTATGGCATGGTTAAAATCTTTATGGTGTGGTTAAAATCTTATTGCATGGTTTAAATCTTTATGGTGTGGTTATAATGTTTATGGTGTGGTTATAATGCTTATTGCATGGTTCAAATCTTTTTGTGTGGTTAAAATCTTATTGCATGGTTTAAATCTTTTTGTGTGGTTAAAATCTAATGTTTACATGGTTCAAATCTTTTTGTGTGGTTAAAATTGGTTAAAATCTTTCTGGTGTGGTTAAAATCTTATGGCATGGTTAAAATCTTATGGTGTGATTAAAATCTTTATTGCTCAGTTCCTGGTATTTAAATGGCACACTTAGAAATAATATTTTTTCTGACAATGCGCTGTATTATGACAATGTACTAGTGGTGGTCCGATTAATTGAAATAATCAAAGATTGGTTGCAGTGACTAAACGACCAAGCAATCGATCATGTTTTCTCATAATCGAAAACAAACAATTCTGGAACACTTTTTGCATTAACAATATTTTTCACAAGGTTGGTTTTGTCAGTTACATTTCATAAGCACTAAAAGCTTGTTCCAAGTCATGATTCAATTTATTTTAAAGACATCAGGAAATTTATGTTCCTAACATACTAGTCATCCTTTCAAGATGTTAAAATGCCCCAAAACCCCCCAAAGAACTACTTGTTTTTTTCTTTATGTTTTTGTGCATTAGCAATAATAACCAGGAAAAATTCATAAATGACGCTAACCAATTATTTTCGATGATTGATCGGTTGTAATGAAGCAATCATCAATTATGAGATTGTAACCAATTCCCAACACTACAATGTACATAGATATATAGCAAATATATATATGTGGTTCTACACAGTCATAGAAATGACAAACACAAGAACAGGCTGAATCCACAGTAAGATTTAGCAAATAATTTGGGGAAATAAGAAACTGGATAGGATATTTTTTATCAATCTCTTTGAAAAATGAAGAATAAAAGTTTAGAATTGATAACATCATATTTTCTACCCTTTTTGAAAGGATTTTCACACAAAGTTATGTGTTGTTAGCTCTATATTTCACTGACAGCAGGGATGGACTCTGTCTCACCACTAAGCTGTGTAGTGTTGGTACAAGAGTATACATGGTTAAAGCTGTATATGTACATGATTGTGAGAGTGTTGGGAGGCGGGGTTACATGGGACAATGTTGTCTATTGTGAGGCTAATTCACAGATCAGTCACAGATCGCCATGCTTCATCAGCCACAGACATACTGCCTCGTAGAGGTACCCTGATTACGGTCACTGGACGGAAGACCTCGGAGCTACCGGTATCATATCACCATACTATCACGATGTTTGATTAAGGATAGAGTTGACCTCTGTGATAACTGTTATATCACCATATGCTATTTAGAACTATCACTACTTTTGTCTATTAAGGAGCAAGTGGACCCCTGTGATAACTATCATATCACCGGACATTAGTACTATCAGAACTTTTGATAACTAAGGAGGGAACGGACAATAGTGATAATTTTCATTTTAGTACTTTAGTATTGTTAGTATCACTCATTACGTCGTCATATGAGCGAAATATTCTCAAGCACGACGTTAAACCCAATTTCACCTCACCTCACCTAGTATCACTCATTCATGTCACTGTATTTGTCAAGTCCTTAATTAGGTATATGATGGTGGGTGTATTTGTGGTTATAGCCAATCAGGCCGAAACTTAGACTTACATATTCATATATTCTCGGGGATATTTAAAAAAAAGATTTTATGCTGGGAATATACATGGTAAATGTATAAGTTAAATTTCAAGTGATTCTATTGCATTTGATTAGTTAAGCACAATTTATTTAGCATGTATGTTTCCATTCATTGTAAAAAATATATGCAATGCCTACTCATAAACCACTGTTTTGTGATTGGTTGATAATAGAATAGACAGACCTTGTTTCTTACTTCTGGACAGTACAGTGTCACTCATTATATTGTTGTCTACATACTTTTGTGTGTTAACATGGTTAATGATGAAATATGTAGGCTGAAAAGTTATTCTTATTATTATTTACTTATCGGGATTGACTTGAATATGTTATAGATGTAAAAATTGGTGTGCGCTCTTTGCATGATTCTTCTAATCCCTTTTCAAAGTCTGACAAAAGAGTTCCCGATCCTAGAGGTGATTATTGCTGCACTAGCTTATGAGTGTGTTCTGACCTGGAGTGTGGGTGCCTCTCACTGGCCACATACTTGACTATGCCATTGACTATCACCATGGAGGAAGCCCCCCCCATCCCTATCCTATAGGCCGTTCTTGATAACGTATGTAACACTCTTCAGTATACCAAGGCATTTAACCAGACCTTCTCCAAAGCAGATAGTTGGCCTCACTTTTGCAGCAAATGTCAGTAAAAATTCTCAAAAAATTAAGAATTCTTAATTTGTGGGGAGAACTTCTGTTATCGCTTTGTAGAGGGGACTGTATATTTGATTGCTAACAGGAGGAAAAAAAGAATAAGTGAGTGTGATTAGTTCTACGTCGCTTTTAGCAATATTCCAGCAATATTATGGCGGGGACACCAGAAATAGGCTCCACACTTTGTACCCATGTGGGGAATCGAACACAGGTCTTCAGTGTGACACATAAATGCTTTATCCACTAGACTACCCTTAAACACCCACCAATAAAGAGGAAGAGGCGTGTTGTACATTATTACTGTGACAATACATCTGAATATAGATGAACAAGAGTTCAGTTTTGAACAACTTTACACTTTATACAATTTACCTGTCAATTAATTTCAGAATCAGCTAATCCTGGTATCAGTGCTCTAGATAGGTTTCTGAACCACAAATATTTTACTTACATGTAATAATCTTCATTGGGTAACTATATTCTTTCTGGGTATTCAATATGTTTGTGCTCTTTGAGGTTCCGATTGAACCATGAACATAATGAGTACACATTTCTTAAAAATCTGTTTCGTGTGTTGGATTGGCTCACACTCTCAGAGTCAGGCACCTAATCGCCAGCACACAAATTCAGCCATCTAACCCACCCATTTTTGTGGAAGTGGTGGCTTAGTGGGTTAGATTGCTGATGTTGTGTAATTGGTGCAAGACTCTGAGAGTGTGGGTTTGAATCCGGATGGGACTGAACCTAACAAAAGTATTAGGATTGGTACTATACTGAAAAAGTGTAATCCCAGATATAACATACGTTACATTTGACCACTTTCTAAAAATGGCATTGTGTATTCATAGACTATATAACACCTGGCTGTTTATATTAAGCTCAACAGTTACATGACACTTGACTGTGTGAATACAATCCAACAGTTTAATGGGCCCCAAACATATTATATAACATCAGACTGTATATATTACACCCAACAGTTTATTACATAAATCACCTGACAGTGGATGAACAATCACAAAACATGTATGTGAAACTTCTGCTTCTAGTTCGGGCTATTATAAGGTTTATTGCCTCTTCTCAGTATGTTATGCTTGTCTCACAATTGTGTAATTTTCATGTATTGTATTGCAACATTCCGTTGAGTGATCAGCATATGTGTATCGTGACAAAGTGTAGTATTGTGGCCCTCTTGAAAAGCATTTTTATTCCTACAAAAATCACTGTGATTTGTCACACAACACTAAATGCTTTTTTGAACTCAGGTTACATAGTTTTGTGAGTTTTTTAAATTTGTATTGTATTGTTAAAAACAATTATGTTTATTTTATTTGTCTAGACTTTGTGCATCTTGTGTGCCATGACGATGTCAAAACTAAATCCCTTTAACATGTTTAATGTTGGCACAGTACCAGTACGGTTGTGGTATGTTTATATTTTTCTAGTCCAAGCTGGCAGACAAATAAAACATATATAACAAAAATTAAAGATCAAAATAAAATGAAAATTTGGTTGTTAAAAAAAAGGCATGGCCTTAACGCAAACAGATCTCAAAACTGAATGTCCTACAAAATCTTGTCAACAGAGCAGATCGATACGGACTATAGCTCTGTGTCTACCCTCAATCCCCCATATCTCACCCAAGCTCCCCCCATCTCACCTCTCCCTTCCCCTGTGATCTCCTGGCCCCCTGGTGTCAAATATCTTCACCAAGTCACAGTCATAAACGTGGGAGAACTCAAAGAGAGGGAAATCAAGAGATCACTGCAGATTAAGTGAGTGAGTGTTGTCTTTGAGAACAGTGTGGACCGGGTTGTCAGGAAGTGTGGCCCCAGTAACAAGCTGAAAGTGTCTCACAGTGAGTGTTATTGTCCACGACATGGGCAGCTCTGCTGGGTCAATACAGCCCTTTCACTACCAGTGTGACCAGGCAATGCTGGTCCATGTCTATATGAGATTTACATCATGTCATTGTGTTGGAGTAAAGGAGGTAGAAAATAACACTTGTATATCACACATGCATTGTTCTTGTATCGAGCTTCAAGTGAGGCAGGCAATATTTCTCATACCAGTATCGGGGAAATGATCAAATCTTGGAACAGTTATTCAGTAAGCTAGCTTTATGTCTTTTGTGGGATCTGAAATCAAGAGATTAATGGTGGACTGCATGTGATGTGGTGATTGTAACATTGTATTCAATATTGACCATGTTTTGCCAGTAGTGCCAACTATTTGATTACATATGTATCTTATTGATTTCTTGACAGTAGTGTTATATTATTGTCCTATCTTGTTCAGATATGATGATATATGACATATTATGTTTCCACACAAGTGTTGTGGTTTTTTCAGATGGCATGTGGTTAATGGTTTAACCATAGATAAGAAATGTGATGTGGTTTGTTTGTATGACAAATTTAGTGAAGTGCATAATTACATCTCAGAAAATCAGATGGATTTGAAGGATTTCATTTATCCCAAAATTTAACTTTTAATGAGTTATCCCAAGAAGGATAATTTGCAATTTATTCTCTGGTTACATTTGTCAGTATTTAACCCAAATTAAAAAATCCATTTTTCCCCAGATGAGAATCATCACAATTTACTCACAGATAACACTAACACTTATCCCAGTTTATCCCCAGATGAAAATCATCACAATTATTGACAGATAACACTTATCCCAGTTTATCCCCAGATGAAAATCATCACAGTAATTGACAGATAACACCTATCCCAGTTTATCCCCAGATGAAAATCATCACAATTATTGACAGATAACACTTATCCCAGTTTATCCCTAGATGAAAATCATCACAATTATTGACAGATAACACTTATCCCAGTTTATCCCCAGATGAAAATCATCACAATTATTGACAGATAACACTTATCCCAGTTTATCCCCAGATGAAAATCATCACATCTATTAACACTTATCCCAGTTTATCCCCAGATGAAAATCATCACAATTATTGACAGATAACACTTATCCCAGTTTATCCCCAGATGAAAATCATCCCAATTATTGACAGATAACACTTATCCCAGTTTACCCCCTAGATGAGATTCATCCCATTTTATCCCTAGATGAGATTTATCACAACATATCCCCAGATAAAAGTTTATCCTATTGAGCTAGATATCACCACCTTGTTCATGATGTCACACCGGAAATGACAATTGTTACATTGTTGTTCTTTAGAATGGTATCCAGGTTAGAATGGTTTGACTGATTCTCCACTGATGTTAATACTTAGACCAATGTCCTCTGTCGTTACAGGAATTCTTCACCCGTCTCTACAACACACACCAGCCAATCATATGCCAGCAAGAAGCGGGCTGTTGCCAATGGCAGCACACCTACCAAGTCACCTCGGGTGCTTTCAAAGGGAGACAAACATCTGGTAGGAAATGTACATATAAAACATGCAATTGTTCAAAATATCAAAGAATAAGTTGAAATAGGTACCAAGAAAATTAATGGTCAATAAATGTATTATTATATTTTATTATTATTATAGGGTATTTATATAGCGCACATATCCATGCAACTAGTACATGCTCAAGGCGCTAGTATTTGTTTCCCTCGATCATTGGATGTCAGTCTCAACGGCACGTCATATTGTCAGTCTCAACTCCCCGGGGAGTATCTTGCATCCACTAGGCGCACTGTGTTATTGCGGCTCTCTTATCCTTACGAGGTACCCATTCACAACTGGGTGGACTGGGACACATAGTCACAGTACTTTGTCCAAGTTTACTGCACGTTGCTGTACCCGCAACTAGGTGTTTGCGTGTATTCATGTGGCCACCATCTGGTCATATACCAACAGATTCGTGGGTTCTTTTAAGTGCACTGGATTGTGTACTGTACACTAGGGGTTGTGACAACACTGAAAGAGTCTGCACACAAAGTTGTCTCCAAGGTTTTTACACCCAGTCACAGGTGGGCTCGATCCCAGCACCTCAAGCTCGTTGGATTACTAGCCTGGCCCCTTAGCCATCTCACCCACCATGCCATGTATTTAGAGTATGGTATGAATATCAAATTTTTATGCATCTTTTCACAGGAGATGTTCCATAGAAAGATAAATCTGACAATTTCATACCTGTCTTTTGCATTAACTGTAAGCTCACCAGGGGATTCAGGTCTGCAGATTCAACTGATTTTCTTAAGTTTCGTTTTTTGTATTGTTGCATCAACACCCTCTGCCGCCTACAACTTCCTTCTTCATACCTTAAACAACAGAGGCGATGGGGTAGCCTAGTGGTTAAAGTGTGCGCTCATCACACCGAAGACCTGTGTTCTATTCCCCAGATGGGTACAATGTGTAAAGCCCATTTCTGTTGTCCCCTGCCGTGATATTGCTGGAATATTGCTAAAAGCGGCGTAAAACCATACTCACTCACTCACTCTCCCATACCCGAGCCAACAGGTTGTTACGTGTGTTGTTATGTTACAGACTGGGGTCCCAGTGGAAAAGAAGATCCTTGACATCGACAGCCAGGACCGGTGGAACACCAGCTATCAGGCCCTCCGTCTGGAGAAGGAGTGGACGGAACTCCATGATCGCCGCAGCATGAAGAGGAACTCAGAGGTGAGGGGGTTAAACTTGTTTTCATTGGTTTTCATTTTAGCTAGACCTGTGAAGATCCGAGTCAGAATTGATCTTCAGTAACCCATGCTTGTCGTAAGAGGCGACTAACGGGATGGGGTGGTTAGATCTCACTGACTTGGTTGACACATGTCATCGGTTCCCAATTGCGTAGAATGATGGTTGTGATGCTGGATTGTCTGGTCCAGACTCGATATGTGAATTTAAATAGTTTTTGCCAGGGCTCCGGTAAAACAATTGCCAATCGGACATTTTGCAGCTAACGCTAGTATGTGGTAGGGTTGGGTAGTTGGCAGGGTATGCAACTGGCAGATTTGTACCAGACCTACCTGATACATGTATGACAGAATGCATTTTTATTTGAAAAGTTCATTTCTTCAATTTTGTGTGATACTTGTATTTTCATTTTTCTAATCCTTCAAAGATAGAATGGCAGATTATATTTTTTCCTAATTATGACTTTGGTCTTGTCACTAAACTGCGTAAGCTCAGCGAACAAGAAACATAACCGTAGCTCCTCATCTGTCCTTATATTAAGTTACGAGCTAGCCCCATGGTGATGTTAGAATTGCTCCCCAGCAACCTTAGGGTGCAGTAAGGTAGCCTTGTGGTTAAAGCGTTATCTTGTCATGCCGAAGAAACAGGTTCCATTCCCCAAATTGGTACAATGTGTGAATCCCATTTCTGGTGTCGCCCACAGTGATATTGCTGGAATATTGCTAAAATCGGCATAAAACCCAACTCACTCACTCACTGATGGGGTGGTTAGGCTCACTGACTTGGTTGACACATGTCATCGGTTCCCATTGCGTAGAATGATGGTAAGTGATGCTGGATTGTCTGGTCCAGACTTCGATATGTGAATTTAAATAGTTTTTGCCTGTGCTCGGTAAAACAATTACCAATGGGACATTTTGCAGCTAAGCGCTAGTAACTGGTAGGGTTGGGTAGTTGGCAGGGGTATGCAACTGGCAGATTTGTACCAGACCTACCTGATACATGTATGACAGAATGCATTTTTATTTGAAAAGTTCATTTCTTCAATTTTGTGTGATACTTGTATTTTCATTTTTCTAATCCTTCAAAGATAGAATGGCAGATTATATTTTTTCCTAATTATGACTTTGGTCTTGTCACTAAACTGTGTTAGCTCAACAAACAAGAAACATAACCTTAGCTCCTCATCTGTCCTTATATTAAGTTACGAGCTAGCCCCATGGTGATGTTAGAATTGCTCCCCAGCAACCTTAGGGTGTGGTAAGGTAGCCTTGTGGTTAAAGCGTTATCTCGCCATGCCGAAGAAACAGGTTCGATTCCCCAAATTGGTACAATGTGTGAATCCCATTTCTGGTGTCGCCCACAGTGATATTGCTGGAATATTGCTAAATTCGGCATAAAACCAACTCACTCACTCACTCACTCACTGGTAACCCATGCTGGTTGTCAGAGGCAACTTAAATGATCAGATGGTCAGACTCTGTAATTTGGTTGATTGTATGTCATAATGCCCTGACTGCCTGGATTCCTGTTCACAATATCAATCACTGGATTATCTGGTCCAGACTTTATTGTTTACATGACAGCTGGAATGTTACTGAGGCGTTTAACAACGGACACTAATAAATGAGTTTAGACAGTGGTCCTGCTGTGATCTCTGGTAGCTTGACCCCTTCAGTGTTTGTAGGCTGTAGGTCTGAGTTAATCTCTGTAATCTGTTAATCTGTTAATCTGGTGTCACGCACATGGCCTATAAGCTCAGGGAGCACAATGACGTGTGTCAGGTTTTATCAGCACAGAAACTAATGTCTCTGTGTTGGTGTGTATACAAACATATGTCAGACTGGGGGTGAGTACGATGTCCAAAAACTAAATTAAATTACCTTTAATTACTCAGTTTGTCCTTGCAATGACATGTGTTGCTATAAGCCATAGTCCACATTTTAGAGGCAAGAGAGAAAATGAATACAGTTCAAATGCTATAAACTAAATTATGCCAATATTCCAATGTTGTGTACATCTTGCTTCTTGTAGTATTGTTCTCTAATATATTTTTGTAAATCCTAAAAATAGAATATACTTTCTATGGTATTGTTGGTGTGTTTCAGAATTCAAAATCTATACACTGCATTTATTCATAGTTTTAAAATGAGAATTTCGTTCATCTTTTAGTCTGAGATATAATTTAGCTTCATGGTCTATGGAGACAATGATGTTTAGTTCTTAATATAGGAATGGCCGTCAAACACTCCTCTTTCATCAACACTTAACCTCCTCTACATAACAACCAGTGTTTCATTGACAGTTTGATAGCATTGAAATGAAATGAAAGTAGAGGGCAAAAGAAAGCCCAAACAGTCACTAACACCTGTTAATTCATATCAAATTCATCGTTATGTTTTATCATTATGTTTATATATCGGACAGTATAATCTAATTTTGATAAAAATAATTTTGTCGTCATCACTTAGAGAGTGCTTGGGAATCCGGTATAGTAAACTAGACACAGTTATTGCTGTTTTGTGGCCAATATCAGTTTTCCTAGATTCATTTAGTCAGTTTCTGAGAGAAAGAAGTGGTGGTCTTCATAGAAAGTTACTAAATGTCCTAGTAGAAGTGATTACAACACCTTGTGTATGATACCAATGAAGATGGAGATGAGAACTAATCATCAGTAACCCACGCTTGTCGTAAGAGGCAACCAGCGGGATCTAGCGGTCAGGCTCACTGACTTGGTTAAAGCATGTCATTATATTTTAATGCATAGTTTGATGTGTATGAGGGGCGGTGGGGTAGCCTAGTGGTTAAAGCGTTCACTCGTCTCGCCAAAGACCCGGGTTTGATTCCCAACATGGTCCCGATGTGTGAAGCCCATTTCTGGTGTCCCCCGCCGTGATGTTGCTGGAATATTGTTGTTTGTATTGAGCTTACTCGATCATTGACAGACTGCCATCATATAGCTGAGTGAGTGAGTTTAGTTTTACGCCACTTTTAGCAATATTCCAGCAACATCACAGTGGGGGACACCGGAAATGGGCTTCACACAGTGTACCCATGTGGGGAATCAAACCCGGGTCTTCGGCGTGACGAGCGGACGCTTTAACCATTAGGCTACCCCACCGCCCCTCACATAGCTGAAAAATTGCCAATTGTGGCATTGAATAAAAAATAAACAAATCCTAGTGTTTATGAAGAGCAGATGATAGTGTTTCCTGTTTGGTGTTTTTGTTGAGGGCTATGGTGATTTCTATTGGCCCTTGCACCGAGACAGTGTGAGTATCAGTCATTGCATCCCTCCTTCTCATAGGAGCCACAGAGTAGCTGTGAAACTATTGATGAGTTTGCCTTTGTGTCAGATCCTGCGACATCGTGTGGACAAGATGTATATGATGAGTGGATCAGGAATCAAGTTGAGGGCAAAGTATGACATCAACGACGATGAGCTTCAACAGCTGAAGGACCTTTCGGAGGCTAGACAGGTGCTGAGAGACAAGTCTCGCAAGTCACAGTGAGTACCCCAGTGGAACCAGTTGTACACAGGGGAAGCCAAGTCAGACCATACTGCCTTACTTGCTTCTCCCCCTCCTCCTCCTCCTTATCATCATCATCATCAGCAGCAGCAGCAGCAGCACCATCATCATCAACATCATCATCAGCATCATCATCAGCATCGTTTTAATCATTTGTCATCATTCCCCCTTCCCTCCTCTTCATTACCATTTCTTGTCACCATCATCATCAACAACAGCAGCAGCAGCAGCATCGTTATTGTTTTAGTGATTTGTCATACTTCCCTCTTCTTCATTACCATATCATCATCATCATCATCATCATCATCATCTCTTTGGTGTTCATGTCATTATTGGCCGAGTTTTGAATTTGCCACGGTCCTTTCGCGGTGAAATTTTGATGTATCACGAAATGTGTTCGAATCTGAGAGTATGGTCCTTGGTTTGTCAGTGCTGTACGATTCAATATTTACACTAATAATCATTGTTATAGTTTTTCGTCTTTCATACTCATTTTTCATAGGTATTGCCAAATGTCTAAGACCTTCATTGCTTTTGACTTTCTGCCATCACTAATCTGACAGACTGTTCAAGGACAGAAATACTGTTCACAGCGGTGTTAACCAGACACACTCACTCACTATCATTCTTATAATAGTCTTACTATCAGCAATTGGATCACTTTGATGCACAATGCATCACAACACTTCCACTTACTTAAGGCTTTTGTTCACAGTGGCGTTAAACCCAACTTACCCTTTGTGCATCTTATCCTCAGGATCCAATCAGCTAACCTGATTGAGGAGGGGGTATCTCCTTTCTCCCACCCCCCTGACACCACCCCTACTCATGGTGATCAGTCCTTGGAGACACCAGACTCGGGGCAGGGTGTCTCTCCTCGCAGTGACGTGGGTGTCATGAAGCAGGTTCCAGAGGCAGCCATTTTGTCCCGAACCAAGAGCAAGTCGCCAGTATACCGTGCTGACAGCCCTGAGTCGGGGATCCAGGCTGACGAACCCAGAGAGGAAGACTTACAGGACAATCAATTGTTTGAGCTGGAGGAAGAACCAAAAGACATGGAAGAAGAGCTCAAAGATCTGGAAGAAGAACCAAAAGATCTGGAAGAAGAACCTGATAGTGCAGGACTTGTAAGAGTGGAACTACGAGGCATTGATGCAGGAAGTCATGGGGAGACTTCAAAAGAGTTTGACACATCCTACATAGATCGTCCAATAAGTCGGGTCGAGATCCGACATCAGCACAAAGCAGCTCCACCTCCAGAACAAGATGTAGGAATTGTGGATATTCTGAAGCACCAGCTGAGTACCAACAAGGACAAGTGCATGCTGGATATGGTGACACGCTCGCCCAACAATGACGGCATCGATGATAACCTCGATGATACTCCCCCAGCCCGAGAATCCTCCTCACACAAGATCCACATAACGCCAGGCCATGGCAGTTACACTATACTGCCTTTTGATCCTTACGACAACATCAGGAAGGGCAAGGTCACTGGAAGTAATTATGTGCACAAGGGTGATTGTTGTCAACCACTGGTGAAGAAGAAAAAGATCAACCGTCAAGTCTTACCAATACAGCAGTTTCCGATAAGGAAACCCAGCAGTCGATTTGTTGTAGCGCAAAGCCCAGTCACGTGCAACTGTCGTCAGAGTTCATATCAGATGTTGTCGGTACAAGGGTACCACGTTTTGCTCTCGAAGAGGGTCATGTGACTTTCAGCAGCAGTGTCCCCTGCTGGCATGGAGATTCATTTCATTGTCAGAGCCAATTAAAAGGAAGTTGCTGAACACTTAAACAATTTTCATTTATCAGTATCTATTTACATATGATATAAACTTGTTTTAATTATGTCTTGAAATATTGTAAATGGTGTATATGACATGTTTTTGCTGATGTGATTTTTCCAGGCAATCAGTTTTACAATTTTATTTTTGTATGTTCAAATATTTGTAAAGCAGTGTATGTTACATTCTATTGAATGTTTACGTTTCTCATTGGTGCTACAACAACCACTACAAGTTTATTTGTGTTATGTTTTGTGGAGTGACGTATAAGCATTATAGTATTGTTATATCACTCCAGTTTTGTTCTGTATAGACTACAAGATTATTACATATATCCAAGTTATCTTTCATATGAAGACTAATACATTCTCAAAATGCTTTTTGGTTCCATAAACTGCTCTGAAATTGCCACAGGTGTTTCTATGGATGATTATAATTTAGGAATTCAGTGCTGGTTTTTCGTTATATCGCTCCTGTTTTGTTCAGTATAGACTACAAGATTATTACATATATCCAAGTTATCTTTCATATGAAGACTAATAAATTCCCAAAATGCAATTTTGATTCCATAAACTGCTCTGAAATTGCCACAGGTGTTTCTATGGATGATTATAATTTAGGAATTCAGTGCTGGTTTCTCATCCTCATTAATGACGTTGCTGAGATTTTGCTGTCTCTGTTGATTGAGCTACATTGAGCCATGATGCTATCTTTCTTTATCCTTACTGAACAAGGTCAGAAATAAGACATTGAATGAGTCATGTGACTTTAACTGTTAGTATTGCTTGAGGGGGAAGAATGTGAACTATTTTGGTATTTCAGACGCTCTATCTGTTTTTACTTTTGTTATCATCATATCATCATAATCATCTCCATATTCCTTTTTTCATATTTGAACTATTGAAAAAAAAGAAGGGAAAATAAATATCATATTATAAGATTTTTGGCTTGTTGTTGAAAAATATTTGTTTGCCTTCATGTTTATATGGCCATCATAGCAAATAATACGATGTGTAAAAAATGTACTCTGTTGTGATGAAGATTTAAACATTTAGTGCTGTATGCCAACAAAACACTGAAGATATGTACCCCAGTTAGGTTTCTGCATGCAGAAATGTACACGAGCCAGTATCAGAAAACACAACATTACCCTGTGATAGGATATTCTGTACTGCACAGTGTGCTCAACCAGTTCTTTGACTCTGACATACTGTTGTATGGTTGGTTGGTTTGCTGTTTAATGCTGCACTAAGCAATATTCCAGCTATATCATGGCGGTCTGTAAATAATCGAGTCTGGACCTGAGAACCCAGTGATCAACATCATGAACATTGATCTAGGCAATTGGGATACGATGACATGTGTCAACCAAGTCAACGAGCCTGACCACCTGATCCCGTTAGTCGCTTCTTATGACAAGCATGGGTTACTGAAGATCAATTCTAACCCGGATCTTCACGGGTCTACACTTGTAGGAGAAGTATTCCAGCATGCTATGTAGAAAACTTTTTATATACAGTTAAGTATATTCAGTACTCTATGTCGAGCACTTTTAACATATGAACCGGAAATACAACATAAAGCAGTATCTATCAAGGGTTGAGGAATATGGACTTATCATGCATTGTTCTCTTCCAGACACTTTTGATTATAGCCATGTTGTAAGGAAAAAGCATATTGGTAATTTACTGCTGAATGACTAACTGGGCCTCCCATCAGGATACAATGATTCACCTCATTCCTACATGGGGCGGTGGGGTAGCCTAATGGTTAAAGCGTCCGCTCGACATGCTGAAGACCCGGGTTTGATTCCCCACATGGGTGCAATGTGTGAAGCCCATTTCTGGTGTCCCCCGCCGTGATATTGCTGGAATGATGCTAAAAGCGGCGTAAAACCATACTCACTCACTCACTCATTTCTACATCACTATTGTCTTAATATCAATACGTATGACTTTGGTCTGAAGATGTTGACCGTTTTCAACAGGTTGAAATTGGTCAGAAAAATTCCATGGTCAATACCACAGAACTTCTGTATACACTATACTTACTTTATCATATAGTAGTACTTGTATATTTATAAATTTGTGTAAATATGGTTCATAGACATAATTGATTTAGGTGATCAATTACACATACCTCCAGGGTTACCTTGATGCCTCATCAATATCCTGACATGAGCCACAGCACCATGATTGTTTAACAGCAGACAAAAATTGTATAAAAACCCTAGTTATTTTTAGACATCGTGGAATATTTGGAGTATATCTGACTGGCATAAAACAACACCCAATCCACCTTACATGTTTCGAGCAAATCAGGGGATATTCATTTGCTGATTGTGGAAGCCGCGGTAGCTGAGCGGTCTAGGCGTCTGACTTTGTGTGCTGGCGATTAGGTGCCTGACTCTGAGGGTGTGGGTTCGAATCCCGGATGGGACTCAACCCAACAAAAGTACTAGAATCTGTACTTTACAAAGAAAGTGTAATCCCAAATATAACATATGTTAGATATTCATACTAGTTGATGACTATTGACAAGCAAATATGGCACAACAGGATTATTTCTTGAGGTGGTCCAAGAAATTTGGAGGATTGTATTGCAGTTGGACATGATTCATATTGCTGACTGGAATGAATACACCTGATTCAACCTCTGCATGTGAATGTGGAGACAGTTTGCCTTATCAAGGAATGGACACATATATTTATTTCATCAAAATTTTATCCTACTTCTACAGAATGATTGCACACTGACTCATTTCAAATATGCATGTGAATAAGGGGACAGATTGCCTTATTAAGCAATGGACACAGATGTATTTTTCATTCATTTCATCAATGTTTATCCTCATTCTATTCCAACCTTGTCCGTATGTGCTGTTTTTTGTTCACTGCACATCAGTTTCATGGTGCAACCTTCAGTAGGACCATGACATTCTTCTACATCAGTGTCTTCATTCATCTACTCTCTCTCCCACTTGCTGTTGTCTGTCACTCCTGCCTATTGCCTTGGTGAGTTGTCTCCCTTGTTGATGTATTTCAAGAGTTGTCCCCCTTCTTAATATTAAATGTTTGGATGTTTCTATATTTTCACCTTTCATCATGACACTTTTCAATCAATATCTTATTATATATATATTATCGTTTTATCATAGTTATTTAAGTATATTATTTTCAGTGAAAAAGGATAATATTTTTAACAAATGTATAGAAATTAGAATGACTTAGATTTGATACTGATGTATTTTCAGTCCAATCCCTAAGGCACCAAAGACAAGCTTGGACCATGGCTATATGAAGGTAAGCTTTAGGATAAACAAAAAATATAAATTCTCCAACTCTTCACTGAAGGATAGGGGGATTGACAAGAACAGATCTCAAGAGGGCAAAAATCTCATCAAAATCAGATATGTTTCACTGATTTAAGAAATCCCTCTGACAAACACTCAAATGAAAGTTGCACCAGGTGAACCCAGATTGAACTTTGACCAGCCAATTAAAATGAAGGATAAGTGTTGTCTTTAGCCAATCTGATAAAAGCTTTCTGAAAAAATACTTGATTTCATTTCTTCACTGCCATGGTTTTGCAAGGAAGGAATGGAATGGAAAGAAAACATGAGCAAGACACAAAAGTCCCCTTAATATGTGCTGTGAATTTGAAATGACAGAGTTTATTATAGCACAACCTTTATTTTTCTCCATTCAGAACGATTAGGATACATTCCTTTTTGTGACACAGAAACCATGTATGGTGCTCCTAAACCTTTTCTTGCTTATGCCAAGAATTTTAGAAGCTTTGATGCTGATGACATAGACTTGGTCATCCTTCCCAATTTACTAATATCGACTGCAGTCAAGAATTGGTCAGATCTGTCAATTTATGTAAATCAAGCTTTGATGTTATGTTCCAGAGTGCGAAAAACAAAGATGGCCACCCAGAGATCCACATACAAGGTAGGCCGAATCTGTGCCCACTTCCCATCTATGCAGGTCAATGTTAGTTATGTCAGCAAGGAGAAGAGGTAGCCAAGTGGTTAAACATTCACCCATCTCACTGACTACGCAGTCAGGACGATGTGTCCATTTGTAAAATTACGTATGTTGTATTTGGGATTACACTTTCGTAGTAAAGTACAGATTCTAGTACTTTTTGGGTTGAGTCCTAGAATCTGTACTTTACTAAGAAAGTGTGATCCCAAATATAACATACGTTACATTTGACCACTTTCTAAAATGGTATTGTGTATTTCATCCATTTGTAATGTTCAGAAGACTGCTTTATCCATAAAGGGAGCTGCTCAGTCACTTATCTCAGTATATTGTCAGCTATATGTAATGTTACCAAAAGGTTATGCTTTATGTACCGTATATTACTGTAGATAAGTCGAATCTTGACCAAACAAAGCAGTCTGTAGAAGGGGGTCGGCTTATCTGTGGTTTACACTTTCGTCAAACTTTTTTCCAGGGGGTAAGAAAACGATATCATATCGCTTTGCATGAACAAACAAGAGAGGACGACTTTGTCAGTAAAGATGTCAAATTTGCAATTAAACATCACTAGACAATATTATTTACCTTTTACGTTCTAAGTTGTTTTGGCTGGGCATTGTATTATTTGCAGGGATTAAGATTACCGTGTGTATTTGTCTCGTATACACAGCCGGATATCAGCTGTGCACACGTTTCCCAGTAATTTAGGTAAAACATACACAATAATATAACAAGATGAATTCTGACACAGTGATCAGTAAAATATAATACATAAAACTATTATTTAACCCAAAGACATATATCCTAGCATTGTGTAATTTTAATTTCAGCTTTTGCTCTATAAATGTAAAATATATAATCAAATCTAAGATTATACGGACCCTCGTGAACATGGTAACACTGATTTTAAGGGTCAAGTTAGGGGGTCGGCTTATCTATGGTAAATTCGGTAAATAATAATAATAATAAATATAACATAGAAATATAATATAATATACTATTTAGATTTAGATGTTTATTTGTTTGTGAGAGTGTAAATTTGTTTGAGTGTAAGGCTGTGTATGTTTATACATTCGTTCATTTTCTCAGGCCAGGGGTCGGTAGGAACCAGCCAGAGGGGAGATTCTGTCTCCGATAACAGGAGTCCACACCCTGCCGGATGGGTGTCAGAAGCGGAGTCTCGTCAACAACCAGCACCACAGAGTGAAAAATCTGAGGATGGAAACCCTGGTGGCACTTTTGTCACAGAAGGGGCTGCTGAGACTAATGGTAACCATGGTGATGCTGCAGAGACTAATGGTAACCATGGTGATGCTGCTGAGACTAATGGTAACCATGGTGATGCTGCAGAGGCTAATGGTAACCATGGTGATGCTGCTGAGGCTAATGGTAACCATGGTGATGCTGCTGAGGCAGAATGTAACCATGGTGATTCTGGTGAGGCAGAAGGTAACCATGGTGATACTGCCAATTCAGAAAAAGAGAGTAACCATGATGAAACAGGAAATACTGATGAAAATCATAACCACACATCAGGAGAAACAGATT